CTGTATGTCTTTAACTGCCAAACAGAAAAGGCAGAAACATCTTTGACGGCTCTAGTGACCTTTGTAATGACTGCCAACGCTTCTGCTGAAGGACAGTAGTTGGCAGTTTTTTCCCTCTTGAATCATATTGATACTTGCATTTAAATAAGCTTAACTTTTAACTGAGTCCGGATAACCAGATGTGCTTAATTTCTGACTTTAGACAATTTTCTTCAGCTTGGCTCCAAATAGTCTAAACCAACAAAAAGTTAGCCAAAATGGAAATCTAGCAATAAACAAGAAATTTGAGAATGGGCAACCTTTTTCTGATCAACTGTTGTGTGATCGGTAGAACTGACTTTAAAAGAAATACAAGAAACCTCTTAGGGAAAACAAAGCTAACATAGTTGACTGAACTCCTTATATTATAGCCTAACCTGTTCAAAATGGGCTAGCATACCTGTTACCCTGTTGTAGCTGGAAAGTGATAGGGAAATGGGGTTTGTGTGTGGAAAGCCTCAAATGTCTAAATTAGAAAAGTGATATGATACTACCTGATTTCGTATGACACTGATGGGAAGAAATAAATAATGTTTTCTTAGCTGATATAGAAATAGCTACAACAGTTGCTTGTCTGATGGGGTGAGAAGAGGCAGAGGAAGTTCTGCTCCTCACCACGCTTCTTGGAAGTAATTGCTCTGGGATGTTTTTCATTGCAGATGTCACCCATTTGGTTGACCTGAGCAAGGAGTGGAATACAACCGTAACGATACACTTTGAAGGGTGGCCCAGCCGCATCCCACTCATGTCTGAACCGATATGCCTGATCTGTAAGGATCCTCGCACCTGCGACCGTGTCTTGACTTTAGTGTCTGGTGCCGTCTACAAGATCTCCTTTCTGTGCAAGGACTTGTCCCGTCTGAGGATCACAGCTGAAAAAGGCATAAGTATGACTAAAGTGGCTTAATGTGGTTTCCTGGGGAATGCTTTTGCATGCTTTTCCCCAGCAGTCAAACTTTCTCTCTTGCTTGGGCTTTAGAGTGTGGTTGTAAACCAGGCGTTCGCCAGCTGGGAGATGGGTACAGTAAATCTGGAGATGACCTTGTTGTTCACTACCTCATTCTACCTTTAAAAATAGAAACTACATAGCTATTCCTAGAAGGGAAAGGACTGAAGGCACTTAAGAATCTTCTCACTGAAAACTGCAAAATATGGAAATGGAGCAGGAGAGCCATAAATCCGCTCATGAAAACGTGCGACCAAGGTGGCCATCAGGAATGCATCTTGTGCCGCTTGCATGTCCACTTGTTGTAGGATTTTCCCCAAATGCTTTCAACTACCAGTAGAAAAAGATCTTTAAAGTATATATGTGGACCTTGGCTAGTCTGCAACAGTGATAGTGTGCAAGTGCAACAGCTAGTCTGCGAGTGAGATAGCAAAAGTAGTATCTTGAGTGAGGGATTTTGAATATGTTTTTATCTGTTGGCTTTTTTGATGTCCTGCACCCTTTTAGGGAAAACTCTTTAAATACAAATGATACATGTTTGGGTAAAGGTTACTAAGAGAGGATATTTTCTGAGGGAGATGCATATCTGGGTCTGTAACACAAAACTGATGGTACTCTGTGTATGTGTGCTCTGGTACACAGGAAAACTTGCTTTTCCTAGATATTGCCTCTGCAAGAAAAATACAACCCTTGGGACTTGTTTTTGCGGTTGCAGGCTGTGTTGATCTTCGGTGGTGTCAGAGGAAGATCTATTCACTTTCGGTGCCCAAGGCTATTACCCAATTGCCGATTCGACTGCATAAATTTATTTGGAAGCTCTTGGCTCCTGATGTGATCAACATAGAAATTATGTCTCCATCCTTGAAACTTCAGCAACACGTCCCAGAGCAGAGGTGCAATACGAGCTACAGTTACAGTGTTGTTAGTGCCACCCCAGAGACGGAGTTGAATGTTGGTGTATTCTGTCCTGGTGGATCCATTGAAAAGATTCAGATGAGGAATAATATCACCATATCCTTAAAAACTTTTGGTAGAGGATTCCTCAATGAGTCTAACCATCAGGATCTGAAAATGTCTTTTGTGCCACACATTAAAGGTAAGGTAGTGTTTTGTACTACTTTGTTGTACAGTGTTGGATTTCTCAGTGTGCTTGTTAGAGCACATATGGGTAAATGGAAATAAGAGTTCACTACTTCACAGTCTAGTCCTGGAGCCATTGCTGGGATCAATTTTTATCTGAATCAGTGAGGTGGCGTATTGCTGGAAGAAGGAAGGAACTTTGTACTCCAGGTGGTGGAGAGTTGGTTGTGGGAAATTTTGCAGATATATCTGCAAAAATTGTGATAACTGGTGTGGAAGGGATGATAGGTGAGTTGTATTGCTGGTACTGAGATGCAGTTGACTCT